TGATATTGATTTATTATTTAATATTATTCTAGACAATTGTCAGATTTCTTTGAAATTTATCTAATTATTACTACAATCAATTTGGAAATTGGTCATTATAAAAATACACTTGTATTAAGCATTAAGTTACGATTGCAAAATATCGACCAACAAAACATGTACCCACTCAAAAATTCTAAATCACAATCTCTGTAACGAACTCTTTAATTAATCAAACGTAAGATTTCTTCTAATTAATAAACGATGAAAACTACGACATTCTCGTTTCTTCAATTACCCTGTGTTTCTCGTAAACTTTCCGAAACTTCTCGAACTGTCTGCCAGTGGATTCCTCCTCCGGAAGTTGTCCTAGGTCGTGGTTGTCCAGGGGCGTGCCGTATCCCTTGGATAGCAGCTCGATCATCCAATGGAAGGTGATCCTATCGAGGAACGTGGCCTCCGAGTGTTTGTACACTGTTCTCCAATTCTCCCCTCGTTCGATCAAGTACCTCCTCCTCTTAGTTCTCGTCTAGACGGGGGCGAGAATCTCGTAGTTGACTTATTCGCGGCGACGCGTTAAGACACGGGGCTCTATTTGCATGCTCCAGCCGGTTGTTTTTACTGGGTCAAGGAGCGAAATGTGCACACGCGAAATATATTTGGAGCGAACGCAGCCATGGAATCTCGGCTTACTTGCTATCGAGAGACCACTTAGGGCTTAAACGAGCCTACTCTTCACGCGGGTATAATTAAACGTGAAATATCGCCCTCCTTCTGTTAGATATTCGCAGAAATTTCTTCGACGAATAATTACTCGGAGAAGGATCGATTTATCCGAGGGTGAGTAAGAATTCTCGTGATCGAAATTGGTAAAAAAATTGTGAAGTCAATTTTTTGGTCACATTGAGACTGCTCGTTGTGAACAATGGTACCACTTAGGTTTGATTAATCTCGTGACTGAAATTGGTAAAAAATTACTTTTTCGTTTACATTGAGACTACTCATTGCGAAGAATGGTACCGTTTAGGTTTACTTAATCTTGTGACTGAAATTGGTAAAAAATGGCAAAGTGACTTTTCTGAGGGTGCTCATATTTAATAACGGTACTCCTTAGATTTGATTAATCTCGTGACTGAAATTGGTAGAAGAATGGCAAAGTGTCCTTTTCGTTCACATTGAGATTGCTCATATCGAACAATGGCACCGTTTAGGTTTACTTAATCTTGTGACTGAAATTGGTAAAAAATAGCAAAGTGACTTTTCTGAGAGTGCTCATACTGAATAATGGTACTTTCAGATTTGATTAATCTCGTGACAGAAATTGGCAAAAGAATGACAGAGTGCCTTTTTCGCTCACATTGAAATTATTCACAATGAGCTATGGTACACTTTGGCTTTCATTAATTTCCTTTACTGAAATGAATAAAAAAATGGCAAAGTGCCTTTTTCGTTCACATTGAGATTGCTCATATCGAACAATGGTACCGTTTAGGTTTACTTAATCTCCCGACTAAAATTGGTAAAAGATGGCAAAGTAACTTTTCTAAGACTACTCATTACAATGGGTACATACTCATTTAAGTTTGACTAATTTCACTCACGAAATTGCTAAAAACTGACTTCATCGTTCACACTGCAACTGCTCACAGCGAACACCATTACACAGCATCAGGTTTGATTATTTTCAAATTCTACTGCACACCTTATAAATCGTTTCAACTCGAAGGAGGAAATGTTCGCGTTAAGCACGAAACATTTTATCGGTGTTTCCTAGAAACTGAATATCGAATAGAAGCATAGGGATGGGGTCTATTTTTGCGATCTAGTTTACAGCAAGAAAAGTTCGTGCCGCCGCACGATAAGCCCGACTACTCCTGCTCCGGCTACGATAATAAACATTATTATTCAAACAAGCTGAGTAAATGTAAAACAAATGTTTGCTAACTCGGTGCCGGGAGTAAGCTCCGCTCTTCTCGATAACGTTGTAACGTTGTGTGTAATTCGTGGCACGATCACTACCATAAGAAGCAGCTAGTTCTCTCATTTACATGTCTCGGGCTAGGTTCGATTAAACTTGTCCTTCGTTTCAAAAACTACCGTCCAATCTCTAATATTATACTTACACCGACAAACTTACCATAAGATACACCGTGTAAGAGTCCAAAACAGCCAACAGACCGCAGATTATGGCAACGATCGCTGTGGTCATAACTCGGACATGTTTCACGGACAATCCGTATCTGGATACATTCGGATATTTGAAAAATATCGATGAATTTCCGAAAATGACTAGATCAACAGTTTCGCGACGGGCGATAGCCGGACAAAACGTTCAGCTGAATACGGCGTATAATTTCGAAAAGTTTGTAGCTGAGTACGGCAAGGTTTTGCCGCCATTTTGGAAATCACGTGGGACTACGTTGCCCGTATTCAGCTGAAGACTTTGAAATCACGTTTCCCGTCGCGAACGTCTTAAAACTGACCTAGAGAAATACGTAAACTTCCACATTCGCGACAAACTGATCGTTCCAAAGATTCCGGCAGTGAAAACGACACCGTGACCACCTGTAGTCTCTGTATCTCGATGAAGGATCCAGCAGCAGAGAACAGCTAGGATCGTGGCGATCGAGGAGTAGGAAGTAGTTGTGAGAAAGGATTCGCTCAT